AGGAAGCGTGATTATTTGTGGAGCCACCTAGCAGCCTGCAACAGGCGGTGCCACAATGTACTGGACGGGACCAGACATGTGACCAGAAGAAGAGGTTGGTATTATTGTTAATTACTAATGCTCCCGACCTTGGGCAACAGGAAGCAGAGAGTGATGAAAGCAATGACTTGACCAAGCCAAGGCATCAAGGCGTTGCGGCGGTGATGAACTTCAGTGGTGCTTTTTAAGGGAAGGTGAAGACCGTAGTTCTCTCTAAGATACAAGGGGGGACATTCAGGGACCTGCCCCTGCGGTCCTTCCCGATGTTTGTGATACAGCTATTCCCCCCAGAAGCGATCGTCAATTATGTGGCCTACAAATGCAACCTGTTCTCCCTGCCGGTATCAAAAATGAGAGAGATGAGCTGCTGGCCAGGCAGCTAAGAAACTTTTGTTTTATAGTCTTTTGCTTTCGAAACAACTTTCTTTTCAGAAATGCACTGTATCTATATCTATAACTACAGATATGGAGATATAGGTACATATTCTAGAAACTAGAGAGAAGGCTATTATAGACACGTTCCTCCAATCCCAGCATCCAGGGTAAAATAAAGTTAATTTTGGATGGCTCACTGTACGTACATGAGTATTAAATAGCCAAGAAGCTCTAAATAACTGAAAGTGGCACCTTGTACTATTTTAAAACAAAACCTATTTTAATGTAACTTTCCTTAAATTGAGTCTAACAACCAAAAAACCAGTGATGTTTCTTCACGAAAATATTAATTATAAAAAACCAAAGACAAATAAATCTGCTCTTAAAGTTCTGTGGCCTCCTACTCTGAAAAGTTAGGGGGAAAACAGCACCCCTGCAATTCCCATAATTAGGTATTTTATACATTCGTGCATCTATAAAATGTATATTCTGTCCCACAACTGTAATTTCTACGTTGACTAGCCACAGGTATGTTTCAGTGAATTCACTGGCCAGCACCGATCATCTGGCCGTTTTTTCTTTCATTCTTCTCGCTGCTGGTCAGGCTGCAGGATCTATATTCTCAAAGAGGCTGTGGGCTCTACGTGCCCCGATTTGCCCAAACTCGCCGAGGTCAAAATGCATCCGTCGTATTTCCTCAGAAAACTGTCTTAAAAAACGTTTCCGTGAGTCCCTTTCTTCCTGCCGCAGTTGCTGGAGGCCTCTGGGCATCAGGCGGCTTCTTTTAGAGGAGCCCGCGCCCTCTGGACACCTAGGCCCGTGTGTCACCCCCTTATCCCCTCCTTTGTGTCCTGCCCTCATGGCCTCGCTCCAGGCCGTGTGAACCACACTGCTGGTTCCGAGACCCCGGCTCCTCGCTTTGTGTTTCTGCGTCTCCCTTACATTCTGGTGGTGGGGTCGGCAACGCTGACAGAAGACGGATGCATCCGAACATCTGCTCGTTTCACATGTTCAAGCAGAGCTTTTGATGGTTCGGGGTAACTCAGGAGCCCCCGCATGCCCATGACCTGAGGACCAGCAGGCTGGACCAAGAGCAGCTGGTTAATGTTACTTTCAAATACCAGCTGGGCCTATTTAAATGCGCCCCCCCTTCCGTGCCCCTCTGCGCCCGTGCATCTGTGCCCACCTCCCTCTTCCTCCCACCTACCCTCTCTCCCTGGGCCTTTCTGAGTCCCTCAGTCCCCTTTCCTGATCCCACTTTTTCTTTCCTCCCCTTTCCTTCCGATTTTGGGTTTCCTTCCCCCCCTTTCTGCCCCTTTTGTTTATGTTTTTCCCTTCCTCCCTCCCCT